AGGCAGGCTCTTATACTGCTGAGCTCTATCCCCAGCCCAAAAGACCTTTCTACTATCCAGCACTTCTAGTGATTGTTGTTTCAATTTTCTTTTCTCTTGCTCTGTTATTTAATGACATAACCTTTTATTGCTAAGTGTAAGTGATCATTTTGAAAATTACAGATAGGAGTAAGAGAAAGTTGAAAAAATACAGTTGAGTCTAGCACTTCCTACCTATCTGTCTCATATTTATTCTGGAAATAGTTTTTTTTCTGGATATAGTTTTTAAAAAAGATAGAAATATTGTTTACATGACTGCCACAAATTTTTTGGGAACTTCAGGCTACGGACCCAGCGCAATCAATGTCCAAATTATGCGCAGTGTGTTTTCAAGGCTAGAAAATAACACAAAGCTGGCCTATGTTCACGGTGCCATCACCCTCACATAAGCATCTTACCCCTGCAAGGATCATTTTTCACTAAGAACTCATCAAGTGCCATCCATCCGCCTCCAACACGAACCATCACAGTACTTCGCAGGATCCGAACCAGCCGCAGCTGCTGGGAGTCTCCAAACTGCACAACGAAGAAAGAAAGAACCTCTAATTGTCAATAATCGTGCTAAGCTAAAGTGTGACGTGCGATCTACAGGAGCTTAAGCAATCAGCTTTACTCTCTTGCTTAGTTCACAGTGATTAGTCAAATCTCAGTAAGGAGCTTGTCATGATGTGCGTTAGACTGCCGCATGCTGATTCAGGCCCAAGGAGAAAGATGAGGAAAAGATTCAAAGTTATCAAATACAACATTGAGAAGTTTTATTCTAAACATGTTTTTCTTATAACAGAATCAACATTAGTAAGATAGTAATTGAGAAATATTTTTTAGAAATTAAGCACAGCCATGAAAATCAGCACCAGCCCATTGGCCGTGGGCTTGCACAAAGTAAGCAGATTCAAAGGAAAAATATAATAAATTCTCATTTCTCTCCATTAAAATCACTTTTTGTGTGGTACTAAACATTCAGCCCCTGGCCTCTAAACTGAGTCACATCCCTAATCCATTTTTATATTTTTACTATGAGGCAGGATCTCTATTAAACTACCCAGGCTGGACTTAAACTTGCGATCATCCTGCCTCAAGTCTCCCAGAGCACTGGGATTGCAGGCACGTGCCACCATGCCTGGCTCAAAATTACCTTTTATATTAAAGCTGTTTTTTTTCCACTGAAATCTATGGGTGAAATCTTCACAAACACATTTTGTTTTCTTTTTAAAAGTTTTGTCTTATGGACAGTAAAGTAGTAAGTGAGTAGGACTAATAACAATTTCATAGTCAACTAAAATTTCTGCATCCCTTATGCTCTGAGAAACCAATTTATACACGGCTGGATTAATATGCCACTTCAGATTACTGTAATACTGTAACAGTCACTGACAAATTATTAATTACACAGCTTTCAAATCTAAAAAGATTTCTCCAAAGCTGTTTCTACAAAGACTGTTGACACTAACAAGCAATCCTCTTTTCCTTGCCCTTTCAGTGAACTGCCAATCACTTGGATATGGTATACATTTGTCACATTCTGAATAAATGCTACACTACAGGTAGCTCAGGTCATTGTTTTGAAAAGCCTGTGAAAAATGATTTTGTACTTTTAAATCATTTCTAATAGGCTTATATTCAACCTGTAAAAATACTGTACTGCATTTCATGGTTGCCAACCCAGCAGACAGCAAAGCAAAACGAACAGTTATTTAAGCATAAGCAGCTTCTTTTTAAAGCAGGGAAAATACAACAGTGACACTTATTTGTCTGGAATCACTATGAGAAGAAACAGAAAACTTCAAGCAGAAATGATCTGCTATTCTCAATAAGCTTTAGCATTAGATTTCAGGAAGAGAACCTTAAAGCAAAGTCAATCCAATCCTACTCAGGCTCCCCAAGCCAGCCAGAGCTGGAAAGCAGGCAGGCTGCACAGTAGGACCTCATTACTACACGCTCAGAGCTGTGGCATTCCTATTTCTAAATCTGAGTTTTAAACAACTGAGACTTGAACATTTTATAAATGAACCTGTTCCTGAAATGTAAGTATCAAAATACATATTTTGTTAGAAAAAAATTTGGTGCTGCTACTAAGCAACAGGAAAGGAGGGGATTTAAAGAAAATTACCCTTAAGGAACCAGATAATCGGACCAGATAATTTTGGTCTAAGATTATGTTCAAAACAAAAGTTAAAGGAAATAACTAAAAGTACTTTCTAAAGATGACATTTCCACTCTATTAAACATGAGTAATTTTCAACTTTAGGAAGGCATTCTCCAGACAACTAACATTGTTTTCAAACTTTCGCTAATTTTCCCAATATCCAAGTGGTGAGACAAGGAAAAAAACAAAACAAATGAATAGTCAATTTGTGCTTCAGTGAATAAAATCTTTTAAACTATTTTCTTACCATCTCCGCAAGACACTATCACACTCAGAAAATAACAAAAATAGCAAGGCACACCTAATGTGTTACAATAAATAAAATTTTACCCTGATTCCATTTTTAACACCCTATATAGGTAGCAAGTTATCGTGCTATATTCCATAAATATGTCAATTAAAAAATGTCTTGGCTAGCTCAGAGGACTAAAGTGCCTGCAAGCAGGCTCAGGGGCCAGAGGTTCAATCCCTGGGCCTGCTGTGCCAGCCCCGCAGCCAGAGTGTGCTGAGACGGCAACTGAGACTGGGTGTGCACACCTGGAATCCCAGTACTTGGGAGGCTGTAAACAGGAGAACCACTACGAGTCCAATTTAGTAGTGAGACCCTGAACACCCTGCAGACCCTTCCCTAAAATACAGAAAAAATCTGTTTTATGGACCTAAATATTTCTATTTTAAATTACTGCCAACAAAAAAAATGAGAGTAAAATAAAATTTGAAATTCAAGATGTAATATGGCTTAAAATGGAGTGGCAGAATAATACTTAATATATATCAAATACTATAGATAGTAATGTTTTTTACAAGAGAATATAGTAAAAAACAAAAACCAAAAAAAAGGAAACCTTCTTGAAAGTTATGTCAGAACATTACTTTTGTCATTAGAGTTTAAAATTCTAACTGTGCCGTAGACAGTTCACACTGACTTAAGTGTCAGTGTAGACTCTGGCCAAGAAGCCGTAACACTTGAGTTTAACATTTTATGTATGAAAACATCACTTAAAACCTCCAGAATTAACGTTCCTACCCAGAACAGGTGCCAAGCCCGCCCTCCATCAGCGACTTAGCACAAATGGGAAAGAGCTGCTTTGGAGAGAACACGTCCCTACAGCCAAGTGTCGTGCAGCACTCTCCAGACTCTGTCTTTCCCATCACTGTTGACCCTCCTGTGACCCTGAACCTCGCTCGTGGGTCCTAAATAACTACATACGCATGAAGGCTCATACGTGTGGAGAATTGAATTCGAGTTCAGTAATTGTTTGTATAAGACACAAGATAATGGTATTAGTGTAAATGGGATTTAGAATTGTATTTCTGGCCTTGTAGCCAGCTAGGCTATAATGCGTTATCTGGTTTGCTTAAAAGTAATCTTCTCATTTGAGATGCAAGGCAAAAAGGAATCCTGGATCAAGGACCCTTTAGCGCTTAGAGAAACACCACGGCAACTAACAACATAGTAGCTAGGGAGACAGCACAGGAGGACTGGCCATGGCAAGCTTTAATGACGATGAATTCAAGTTTAAAAAGTCATTTTGGAGCTTGAGAATGTACATTCCACTGGTTTATACCTGATTTCCCAGGAAGAACTGATAAAAAAATGAAAAATGGAAGAAAGACACAATTAGTTTAACAGAAAACTTTCTATATGCCTTGAGAACACACCAAACATGCTCATACTGTGGACACTGGCACTAGTTTAGAAATGTGCAGGTGCCCATTTGTGTCCCAATTTCAAACTAATCAGAAAATTTCCTCTGCAAATTTATTGGATAATCTTAGGAATTCAAATTTAAATTAAAATTTTTCTACATACAGGATTATTTTTCAGTATAAAAGTATACAAATAAATAATGTTGTATTTCTAAGTAATACACTGCTGGGAAAACTCAGCACATTTCCCATCTAGCTACTCCCTACCAGAGATGTTCCAAAAAGAGAAACAGTAAAGACAGAGAAATGAAGTCGCACTGTTCTTGTGTTCTGAAGGTGAACCAAGTCCACTGAGATTCAAATACAGTAGAAGTAAAAATTACAGCACATTTGTCATATGTTCACTTGATGGTTCTACTTTGGAATAACTTTGTTATTCAAAATCTGGAAGCTTACCTCTAAATATAATAAAATATAAAGTAATATGAAGCAACCTGAACTTATAAGGTTTGAGTGCTTCACTGTGGATAATTCTTTTCCTTAAGTAATGTGCACGTGCTATAAGAGTCAAAGATAGGCCTTCACAGAAAAAAAAAGCAGGCTATCTTTATGTAATTTAAAATGCCCCTGAATTTTGATATGTAAAAATAATTAGGATTCCCAGAAAAACAACACTGATCAAACTATGCATAAATTTCAATTTATATCCTTGAAAGAAACTACAAAAGTATTTGGAAAACTTACCCTGTATTTGTTATCACCGATCTGTTCAACTTGAAATCGCTTTGCACACTTACACTTAGCTACCTGCCTTGTGACCTGCCAAAAACAATGATGAAATATTCACTTGCATGTTAATATCGCCTAACAGTATCCTTAAAAACTGCGACACAACAACTAAAGGGGACAGAAGTAAAACGCCTGCACGAGCTGCACGTGAGGTCCCGGCAGAGCCCAGCAACACTACCGCCGACAGTGGAAAGGCAAGGAGTACCTCATCTTCAATCTTGTCAGCGTCTGTGACGGGCTTGTAAGCATCCTTATTTGGGTGAAGAGCTGCTACAAATTCGTAGTAGTCAATGTAGCCGTCGCCGTCTCTGTCGAAGATGTCTGCAACCGCGCTCATCTCCAGGCGACTCGTCGGGAATTCTAACATTTGCGAAGACACCGTAAGCGCTGAATCGTCACTTGTTAATTTCCCCTTAAGGAATTTTTAATGTCTTTAATCGAAGTCTGGCTCATTAAATTATCAGACTGATCCAATGTGTTAAAGACTGATTTACAGCATCAGAGATTAACAGATATAACTTAAATCTATCTTTTAATTATTCAGGTGAATCATGGAAATGTTTTTGTAGGTTGAAATCTTTTTTTTAGTCTTTGTAATTTCATTTACTTCAGCTAGTCTGAATAATTTATATAAAATTTACATTAAGAATTACTTCTAGTAAAATGTTAGGGAAATTACATACAAACAAACCATCAAATAAGAAGGTACTGACACCTTATCGGGTTCCTTAGAGGGTTTGAAGGACTTAATGACAATGTAAGATCAAAATGTGAATTCTAATAAAAAGAACTACATTTACTGATTTTCTATTACATATGAAGGAACACACAAAAACCCTAAAAATCAAACATTATTCACAGTGCTATGGCTTCAACAGGGTTAAGGGACGTCACAGCCATAAATTTAACCAAAGATACCATTTTGAAAATGCTGGTGACTTTTTAGCTAGTCTAAAGGCAGCGATTTATTACCAAGACCATTTTGTTGGGCCCATATCTTTTTTTTTTTTTTTTTTTTTTTTGCGGAACCAGGGATTGAACGCAGGCCCTTGCGCTTGCCAAGGAAGAGCTTAGTCCACTGAGCCATCTCCCCAGCCCCTGGGCCCACATCTTTAAACTGTGTTAGTTTCCTTTACACATTGTGCCAGGTATGGTCATCTGCCTTGGGACTTACTTGAAGAAAGAATTCCATCAATAAACTCTTGCCGGGTTATCTTCCCATCCTGATCTTTATCAATTCTCCTGAAGAAGTCCATCACTCGAGATTTCTTGTGGTTCATCCACCGCATGTATTTTTTTCGCCAAATATCAAAATCAAAGTTAGCAAATTCCCTCAGCTAAAAGAGCAAAAGGTATTTGGGTTGTGTTAGCTCTGTGCTCACACTGTATTTTAAACATATCATATTATCTGAATAAACTTTTAAATAATCCCATAGATAATACGCACAGCTCTCCCACTTCAAAGACTTTATCTTGCAAAGGTGACTCAATAAGTTTTCCCGTAAAGTTTGTATCATTGTATCACTGAATTTTCTTTATAAAGAAAATCCCTAAAATGTTAGAGGGACAATTTCCCATCCTCGTCCCCCAGGGTCATCAAGGCAGCGTGCCCCTCAGTCCCAGCTTGGGTCCTGTGCTCCTGCCCAGAAGCTGCCAAGTGAGCCACAATCTGTCTCCTGGAGCTGCTCTGCCATTCTTAACTCCCACTGATGACTAAAAATGTCCCCAAGTTAGGTCCTGAAGCTCCAATCTTAGGTCATGAAAACAGTTCCTGGGCCACAGAGTACCAGCAGGGAACATGCCACATTAATTTTTCTTACAGAATCAGTTTCTCATTGCTGAAATGTAATATTTTACTGTATTGATTCCCTAAATCCAAATCTCATTTATCAAGCCTTTTACAAAGGTACACATGCACTTAGAATTCATCTTCAAAGTACAACATGGACTCAAACACTAAGTTTGCCCATGTTAAAAAAAAAAAATTTTTTTTTTTTGGTTACTGGGTCTTGCTACACAGCTCAGACTCAGTGATCTTCCTGTCTCGGCCTTCCTAGTGCTCAGATTACAGGCATGCGCCACCACGCCCGGTTTAAAAAAAAAAAGAATCCAAGATTTTGGCATGGTGGTGTAACAAATCAAGGCAAGGAACAACCCAGAGACAAATGTATGGATTTCCAAACCTCTTCCAGCCTGTCCAAGGCGTCATTGAGCTTCCTTCTCCTTTCCAACGCGAGGAGCCAGACTTGCTGCCATTTGCTCACCAGCAGGTTTACCCTGGGGTTCTTGGTTTCGATTTGTGTGTGGGATCCAGAAGGATACAAACTGGATGCTGGGAAGCGTTTTCCTGTTAAAGTACAACTTCAGTTAGGATGGCAGAGCCTGCTTCCAGCACTCTGGTATGCAATGATTCCTGGCCTTCTTCATGCTAGCCAGGACTAAATCAATTTAGTTATGGGTATCCCAAGTAGAACTATCCCACTTAGCTGATGCATGATATTGAAATGCAAAACTGTCTTACTCATTAAGGTCCACACACTGATCAAGTAAATTAGAGCAATATATATTGACAGGGACATTTAAATATTAGAAATGTTCTCTCAATAAATTTCTGCTTAAAACATTTTCCTGCTTGAAATTTACTCTACGTCAGTGACAATGCAGCACCCTGTAATTCTCCTCTTTGTTAAGGCAAGAAGAAGAACTCTCTCTGGTGTGGTTACAGCAGACTCAGCTGTCCTTAGAGCACATATAAGGCTGAAAGGAGAGCAAGTGGGAGCTGAGACCTCGCTGTCACCAGTCAGGTGCTTTACAAATTCCAGCAGAACTGAACATACAAGTGTGTATAGGGCCCCAATCTATCCCAATTCCACTGCACATTTCCTGTGCACAATCTCATACCCAAGATTCTTGTGTCCTTCCTGGCTATTTTTCATTAAGTTTTTGTAATTCTACAAAACAATTACTGCAATGTATTTTTCTTATCTAAATACCCTCTTTCCCTGAAAGTAAAACCTAGCTTGAAAACAATTAGCACTGGAAACGAGACACCAAAAGTGCTGGCCCTGGCCAGCCTGTCCTTGCCTCACCTGCCTGCCTTCCAGAGCAGTCACTGAGCGAGAGCACAGTGAGGGCAGGTGAGGGAGGGCCAGCTGAGGCAAGGGCAGGCTGGCTGGGGCTGGCACTTTTGGTGTCTCGTTTCCAAGGCTCATTATTTTCCAGGTAGGCTTTTATTTTCAGAGAAACATGGTAGCTAATGGTTGGCTAGGAAAATGATTGGCCCATAGTCATATGGGATGTTGGTGTTCATGCTGGGCAGCACACTGATAATCTTTATTGACGACTTCGCTATATGCCAGGCAGTACGCCAGGCACTTCATGTGCATCCATTCACTTCGCTCTTGCGGTGATCTCTGACACTGTAACCACCTCCCTTTATGGACAGGGAAATGGCGATTTAGAGCACATGTGAGGAAGCTGTCAGGCTCGCTTCTCAGGCGCTAAGTGGTGGGGAAGTCACGGCTGATTCCAGCCGGCAACACGGTCAGCGCAAGAGCACCAACCCCACTTCATAAAAGAAAAAATAGTAAGGCACCAATCAGAAATATTTAACGTGTGATACTAATTGCTTCATATGTAAATATTCTCCACTGTATAGCTTTTCACATGATTTTGTTGTGCTACGGTGGCCCAAGAAGTGGTATGCAGAGCCTGAAGCAACATGAACGTGGGCAAAATCTAACAGATATCACTAATGGGCAGCTAGATTAGGCGCTCCATCCAGGTCATGATCCCTTTCCTATGTTCAATTACAGCGCTGTTTACATAACAGAAGACAATTTTACACAACAGAAGCTGTTCACATATTAGAAGACAATTTAAATGACAATTTCTGTCCTTGCAAACTTTTTCAATTCTAGCTAATTTGAAAGATTTGCTTCAAGCAAATAAAGTTAAATGCACAAACCTAGGCAAGGCTGTTTATTTTTAAACAAATAGCTTTAAAAACTTTTTTTTTTTTTTTTTTTTTTTTTTTTGGCGGAACTGGGGATTGAACTCAGACCACTGAGCCATCTCCACGGCCCGAACTAGCTTTAAATCTTGAGTCCATATAGTTGTTCAAAAATTTCCAACAATAACTAAGCTAAAAGGGCTCAGTTATTCGTGCACCTACAATATTGAAATGTCAATGGAATACCCATCTCTGACAGAAGTAAAAAAAAAAAGGGGATACAAATGAAGGACCACTTTGTTTCTGTATATACAAAATAGGACAGATATACAGCTACCTTTTCTTATAGAAAAGAAAGATTTGTACTAGTAGTGTTTGGACAGGATATCATGTCTGCATCTTGTACTATGAATAACCACTACGAAGACAACAATATACAATGCATTAATTATTGAAACAGTCCTACTAATGCTTTTTGAAACTGTCTCATTGCTATTTGTTTCTCAATAAAATTTTAAAAAACCCAAAAGAAACAAACTAGCTCTATTTCTGATGAATGCTTTTCATTTCAAAGCAGTAGGCTGCTGCTCACTTCCTGCTCGGCCCTTATCCAGGACTGGAATGTGGGACTGCAAGGAGGGAGGATCCGCTCCTCTCCGCTTGTAGGTCTTGGTGACTTTATCCACATCGGGCTGTTTCCTGGTCATTTCTTCCATGAAAGACTGCAGGGAAAGAGGTGGTTTCAGGTAAATAAAACTATACCAGACTGAATCAGTCTTAAAAATAAACACAACGACAAAGAAAGCAATCAAACTATTATTTCTGAAGAATAAATTACCATGTTTTATCTTTAAAAACTGCTAAACCAGCATGCCACATTTACTGCTTTCTAAAGAATGTGACATGCTATAGCTGGTAAGGAGAATAAATTAAAAATTTTTTTAAATCGCTTTAGTTGAAAGCTCACCCATGGGAGCAATCACGTGAATAACACATCTACCAAGCTCAAGCCTCAAGCTTTTCCACAAGAATTTTTTGTGAGCAATTGAACTGGTAAACAGGGGTGTGCTCTGACTCTTGTGAAGTGGCGTACTTCATCATGTGAAATACTCAAGATGCCTCTGACATATAGTGAGATAAGGCACCCATATTTTAAGGCATCAAGCAAGGAAGGTAAGAGTTGAACTGTGTTAGAACAGGTTGGCTTCAAGGCTTGACTCTCTTGCCATTTGTACCACATCTCCCTTGTTTCCCCTTGTTTACCTGCACCTGAAACATGTGGCAAAGGTGGAGGAAGACAGAGACTGTGGTGGGGAAAGGGCGTATGACAGACAGAAGTGCAAAGGGGTGGGAGACACTTCTGGAATGCTTATCCTACTGGAGCACTGCGGCAACTTCAACACCCCTGCTTAGCGAGGGCACAGCCGGAGACAGCAAGGGCTAGGACAGGTGTGCAGACCGTAGACTTGTATTAAAGTACAGCAATGGCGATGTTCATTGTTCAGTCAAGCTGACACGTATTGCTTCGTGTTGTAAATACATATTATACAAACTCAAGTATGATGCCCACCACTGCAGACTTTAAACCAAGCAGGATACAGAGGAGGAATAATTTTTCTGAGAAAGCCAACTATTCCCCCTTTAAGTATGGATGTGTTTGGAGCACTGATGGTCATCTTGGGAGAGAGATGAAATGCAAACACAAAATCATAAAGTAAGTGCCAGTTAAAGGGAAAGTGACATGGGCCGGGGAGATGGCTCAGTGGAATAAGTGCTTGCCTGGCAAACACAAGGGGCTGGGTTCAAGCCCCGGTTCCACAAAAAAAAAAAAAAAAAAAAAAGTGAGCGTGACATGGGCAAGAAGAGCGCAGCGCCAGCTGTGCAGAGTTGAGGATGAGAAGCAGGAGGGAGCAGGGCTGACGGTCAGAAGGCAAGAGGTGGTACCGAAGCCATGTGGGGCAGGGCCAGCAGCTGAGTGTAGCCTCACAGAGGCCAGTGCAGCAGAGTTCTGCAAAGTCCAGTGGACAACTGTGAAGAGGGGCCTTAGGGCAGTTCAGTTAGAAACCCAACTGCCAGGAGTGGGGAATGACGCTGGAGGAAGCAGAAGCAGCTCCAAGAGCTGGCCAAGCGAGCTCACCTGGTGCTCTGCGATGAGCGCCTTCACCTCCTCGATCTCCTGGGGGATGTCTTCTTTGTCCTTTTCACTGAGTGTGGCTTCAGCCCACTGCAACCAAGACAGCAAAGCTTCCAACAACTCCTTCTTAGCAATGAGTCCAGCCAGAGCACTGGCTAATCTCTGCTGATGCTGCTTGGCCCAGGCCAGTACCTGTTGGAGAAACAGATTTCACTGAATGCCTTGGTGTAAAATATACAATCTTAAGTGTACAGTAGGATCACCCGAGGCTAGACCCACATGACATTCTTCAGTGGCACCAAAGCCCAGCCTGAGGAGGAGATGACAGCCCTGTGTGACATTTGTCACCATCAGAAGTTTAAGGTCAAGTGTGCTTACTCTACCTAGCACAGAAAATAAAAATGCGCAGATCTGAAGGAGTTAACACAGTGTGGTATCAGCTCACTCAGCAAGTAATATTGTTATAAAACACCGTCCAATGCTGGATTGTTCAACAGACACAATATGGGAGTGGGACAGAACGCTGTACAGTAAGCCAAAGGTCTGCTCAGAGAGTCTCAGGGACATAGCTGAGAATTCCTTTAACTTTGTAATGAAAAGTAAATCTCAAAGACTGATAATGCACGTAAGAACGACATGTTAAAGAACTCTTTCAGGGCTGGTGAGATAGCTTAGCGGACTAAGTGCCTACGCAGGCAAACACAGGGACTGGGGTTCAATCCCCAGCACCACATGCTACGCTGTCACTGCCCTCCCCCAGCCCCAGAGTGCTGAGACCGAGTCCAGGTGTGGTGGTGCACACCTGTAATCCCAGCACTGGGGAGGCTGACTCAGGAGGATCACTACAAGTCTGAGCTTTCCTTGAGGGGACCCTGCTTTTCCACAGCTGATCAGTGTACCTTAACTACTGAAATTCCCCCTCTCAAGGCTACAGATAGACTAGTGGAGACCCACTGACCTCCTCAAACCTGGCCCGGATGATGGTTATCCAGTGCTTAATGGTGGTGATGGAATCTGGGTGGCAGATGGCCAGAACCGCATCACCCATACTGGTGGCTTTATTGAGTTCAGCTCTTTTTTCTTCCAGTTTCTTCATGAATTCCTACAGTAGAAATAAAGATTTCAATTAGCCACTGGCACTGGCCAAAAACTAAACTCTGGAGACATTCACTTACTGACAGTGTCCACAAAATAAATAGAAGCTTTAGTTGTTTTATTCACAGTTTTAAGTCATCTACTAAGTGGGAGGCACTGTGCCACTGAGCTATGCTCCCCACAATACTTTAAATATGCATATCAAAAGAGAATACAGTTGGACCGGGGGTAGCTCAGTAACATAAGCACCTGCCTGGCAAGGGCAAGGTCCTGAGTTCAGACCCCAGAGCCAAAAAAAAAAAGAAGTACAGAATAGCATCTCATGTTTTAAAATACGTATCATATAAAAATAACTCCTCAAAATTTGTTTATGTTTGAAAATAAGATTGGAAGAAACAATATTGCTAGAGATAGAAATAATACTGCTTGCAATAAAAAGATTTTCGTGATAGAATAATTTTATTTCTTTCAACATGTCATTATAGTCAAGTTTAATTAACAGTATACTCTGATAACAAACATGACCTATTTTGCCACACAACGAATGACCTATTCTAAGACACGGCTCCCCACCATAGGCCCTCTCAAATGAATGACTAAAGAAAAGGCAGAGGCTGGCAGCATCTGTGCTTCTCCAGGGACAGGCGTTCCCAGCATCCCCTTGCCATCACTCTCACACCGGAAGGGCCAGGGAGGCGGCCAGCAGCGGCTGGATGCAACCAGCTCTCCACTCCATACTGTGCTCTTGCAGTTAAGTCTGAGGGCTGTCTACCACATGGGAAAGCCTGACGTCTTGGGAGACTGGATTACACTGAGATGTCTTTAGTCCTGGTGTTAGTAAGTTAAATAGCCTGTCCTACTTTCAGGAATGTGTAAAAGGAAGCCGAGGAAAGGAAAAAGAATGAACAATATTACTGGAAAGTATTACTAAGAAATGTCTTCAGAATTATAGCTTAATATTGCATGAAGTATTTTTAAATAATGCAAATTTAAAATTAAAACAGTAACTTAAAATGGTAAGACTTCTGCTCTGGACACTTCTCCGGGAGGTTTCCTGTTCCTCAAACAGGAGTGGTGATGATACAAATAAGACCTTTCTGTAAGAATCAAGTTTGCACACTAGGCCTTAAAAAGAAGCCAGAAGTCTTTAATGTCACTTGAGATTCAAACCCTAACATATTAGTTGACCTCAGCCTATAGTAATACCAGGCAGATTTCTAAATATTGAACTAAATCAAAAATTTACAATAAACCTGATGTAGTCTTACTATTCGTTATTCTAGCTTCAAATTCAAAAGGTATTTCTTTTCACCGGATACTACTGCACAAGCTTGCATCACTTTTCTTAATGACAAGATGGTATTTCATTGCTATAGGACAGCCAACCCTCCTCAGAAAGAGTAATTAAAAAGTCTACTGATGATGTAATCTATGCTACACTGAAACGAATGTGTTTCCAACTTGACCTTGAAAGGCAGATTATGAAGGGTATTAAAAGGTCCTTTAAAGCTGATAGAAAGTCCTGGTTTCAACACTACTTTGAGTGTTAGCCCTGTCCATTTCTGACTTTTTGTGTTGAAGATTGAAATATATTTGTTCTGAGCTACCTGAACCACTCTGCTCGCTGAAGGCTTCTGTCAGCTTTCACACAATGCCACAGAAATGATCTTAGTTTGAAAATTAAAGAATCAGATTTTTTACTTGGTTATTTATGTTTATGGAACTCATACTATAGTGTTATGTCTAAAAAGATTTCAACAGGCTCTTGATTAAAAACAGAAGTGGCAAAATTTTAAACATAAAATCTATAAATCCTGCTGAGCACAACACTGGGTTCCACCAAATCATTGCTTACTTTTATACTATAAATTTTTTTTAATACTAGCAAGCCAAAAAAAAAAAAAAATACTAGCAAGCCATTCATTCAGTAGCTTTATGTTTACTTACTTGGTACAAAGAAAGGCAAGGTGTGTACATGTGTGCCAAAGTGTCAAACTAGGATTTACACCACGTGATACTCTAACAGGTTTTACCTGTTTTCTGGAGTATCACATCCACATCACTCTAGGATGTGTGTATACACATTTCCTTTTGGTTTTTCTGGTAGAAATAGCCCAATTCAGTACAACAGCACATGAAACACCAGATTTGGAAGTTTTGGAGAAGGTCAAAAGTGAATCATCAGATAACTCATGCGTGGATGATGAAGCCATAACAGAAAATGGTGGGGGCAGATGTAACAGTGATGACCCTGACACTGGCCACGGGAGCCAAAGTTCCTGTGCGAGTGAGATGAGCGAGGACCGACCGGCACAGACACAGGGAATCCAGACACCTTTCATTCAGATGACAAAGAAAGCACCGTAATTGACTAACTGAAATGCTGCAAGATGGCCATGCAGCCAAAAGGAACAATCCAATGTTGAAACCGGGTCTGAAAATACAGTGAGAGTCTTGGCAGGGGTAGAATGTATTGGGCAGAATGCTAGCACTACCTTTCAACGGTGGAATTTGTAACAGATGAAACACTATAGAATGCTGAGAAATACAGAGGGACTGCAATGCAACTACAACATTCTGTAGGCACCAAAGGCCACATTCAAAAATGCATTCTTATGACATCTCACCAGCAAGGAGCCGAACTGAGCAGGGAACTGAACTTAGGAGGGATTTTTCATGGTAACTGCAGAAATACAAAAGACTTACGGAAAAGTAATGTGCCAAAATGTGGCATGAAAATTTATGCCCTTGTAGATGCAAAGACTTCCTATGCTTTCAATTTAGAAATTTATCCTGAAACTCAGGCATCAGATCCTTATTCATATAGTAATAAACCAAATGTTGTGAACAGTTTTGTTGCTCCCATTTTCCAAACTAACGGTAATGTGACATTCAACAATTGGTTTTCGACTGATGTTACATTTGCTAACAGAACACAAGTTGAATAGTGCGGGAACTATGTACAGGAGCAAAGCAGAAATTCCAAATGAAATATTGCAATTTCAAAACAGAACTGTGTAACATAATCTTTAGATTTCAGGAAGATTTACGTTGGCCTTGTATATGGCAAAGAAAAACAAATTAGTATTGCTGATGTCAACATGATGGAACTATTGATAGGGAAACCTTCATAAAACTAAATCCTGAAATGAAAATCTTCTACAACAACATTAGAGGGCCAGGGAGATAGCTCCGTAGAATAAACACTTGCCTGGCAAGCACAAGGTCCTAAGTTCAATCCCCGGTACCACACACACAAAAAATTCTTTCACTACAACAAAACCAAAGGTGGAGTGAATCTTGTTGATGAATTATGTAGCAGTTATGATGTCACTTGAAACAGAAAACAGTGCTTGTGTGGCATGGTTTGATAGTTTACAAAGAAAATGACAAGTGCAAAATACCACAGAAAATTTTCTTAAGAGGGCTGGGAACAGAACTCATAAGACATTATTTTAGCAGAGGAAAAACAAAAAGCGACTGCCCAGGGAACTACACAAAAAAATTGTGCAGCACACTGGTGAGCTGAAGGTGAACAGGCAGACACAGCATCCTGAAGATGTACTATTACCAACAGGAAAATCACAATGATGTCAACTGTGCCCTACAAGAAAGGACAGGAAAAAAGACTTGTGTATGGAAGATGTAGCTGTCATGTGTGAAAAGGGCCTGAGAGGGACAACTGAAGCAAAGATTTGTGTGGTAGACTTTTGTAAGCAAGAACACAGCTGATGTGAAAATGTTGACAGTTATTCTAAGCACTCATTACACATTTGGTATTTTATTGACATCTTATTTTCTTATTATTTAGCTTTGATAACTGAAGTTTGTAAAATGCTACTAGTATTTTCATTGTAGTTCACATGAAAATTTATTTCTGATGTTATCTTTTAGAGTAAGCACATACAGAACTGATGTGAAAAGGTTGTTTATTGTGAATATGCAATACATATTAAGGATTTGATACTTTATTTTATTGATGTCTTATGTTCCTATTAACTATACATTTCATAACATAATAAGAACCTCTTGATAAAATACCAAGACCAGTGACATGTCAAGCATGTCTTTAAAAAGGCCAGAAAGCAAAATATACATGCTGTTAGTGTAAGTGATGCATGTGTATGGACCATGTTACTGTCATGTGTGAAGACTGCCTTAGGTGTGACAGCTTTAGTAGAGATTTTTTTTTCTGTAGAGTGCTATCGGCATTTTCATTGTAGTTCACATATGAATTTATTTCTGTTATTCTTCTTTGACTTTGTATACCAAAAAACTGTCAATGCTGAAAAAATTCATATTTTATAAACAATAATTAAAATGCAATATTTCAATTTTGTGATTCTTCCCTGTTAAGCACTCATTATTTAGTATAATAAAACTCATAAGATTAAAAGTAATAATTCATTAATAGAAATATTCCAAAGAATAAACATGGGTTTGACATACCCATGGTTATGCTCCATTATGACAAAAAAAAAAATTTGTCATGCTCTATAGACAAATGACTTGCTTTCTTGCTAATACAGGTCAAAGATATTAATTTATAATTCTATTAGTATAATTTTATAAATGTTAAAATATTCATTAAGAAAATTTCCTTCTTGAAATCCATATCAAAGTTAACAAAGGGTTGGGGAGATAGTTTGATGACCTAAGCACCTACCTGGCAAATGCAAGGACCTGGGTTCAATACCCAGTACCACATGCCTTGCAGGTCCTGGAACCCAGGGCATGCCATGCTGGCCACAGAAACTGGGCATGGTGGCACATGCCTGTAATCCCAGCACCAGAGAGGCTGAGACAGGAGGATCACTACAAGTCTGAGCTGTGTAGCAAGGCCTTGTACCAAATAAGTAAATAAAAATTTTTTTAATTAACAAAGTTGGCCAAATAAACCCCTAGAAAAATCTATGCATTTCCTAGAGATATCAAACAGACACACTAGTTATAGAATAACTGCTTTCTCTAAACACCTGTGGCATGGTTGGGGACATTTGCACACTAGCAAGAAGAATAGAGATACATGCTAGAATCTGCCAGATGTTTAATTACTTCTCAGGAAGGAAAATATTTATACATTTGATATTTCTAATCAAACCTACTTCATCTACTTTGTTCACTTTCTCACTTAGTTACACACAGTGCCTAGAAACTACTCACCTTATGCTGGTCAATGAGAGTTCGAAGAGCATCCTCATCATCTGGGAGAACACCATGGAAACGCAGGGTCTGCTCTGCCTCAGCCAGCCACTCCAGGAGGGCGTGGACCACCGAGTGGAATTCTTCCGCCTAACAGTATAAGCACACACACACACCCCCTAAGGATCTCAAAACATGCCCGTTAGAGAAATTCACAGAACTGAAGAGTAGATTCTTCCCCTCAATTTATATTTAAATTACCTAATTATGTACATTACTCACATTAAAAAGATAAAGATATGCAGAGCTGTATTTTAAAATATAAAAAACATATCTCATTAAGTAAAATAATTTATTTATGGTAGAATAAGTCACCATTTTAACTTGGTTTTAGGTGAATGGCAGCACATAGACTTCCAAGCTGAAAAATTATTCAGGCAGGACGTTTTTGTTAAGATCAGCAAGCTTACCCTGCATGAGAAATTTAAAGTCCTGAGGGAGGCAGAGGACAAAACAAGGCAGCGACTGCAATCAGAATTTCCTCCTTCCTGACAACCCAGCAAGAGAAATGAAGGCTGTTGCACTTGCCACTGCAGCCTTCCTCGCTGAGGCTTCAATACCTGTCAGGACTCCGGCGCTCACTGCTATGGGCTTACCTGACGCAGGGCTGCTTCTAGCCGCGTCTGCTTTGAGATAGACAGTGCACACACGCTCTCCCAGCGTGTGCTCAGCTCCTGCATCTGGACTTTGACCCAGGAGGAGTCATCGCGGCTGCCTTCTATAAGCTCCCGGGCAGAGCGCTTCAGCGCTTGTACACTGCTGGTCCTCTTTCCCAGCTCTTTTTGGAAAACCTAAGAAAATCATAGTTTCTACAGTTAAGTTTTGATTATAAAACCACAACTGTAAGAAGTACTGGTCTGACATACGTATGTGTACAAGATATCACTGGCAGACGTCTGAGGCCCGCAGTCCTGGCAGAACCTCAGAGGGGAGAACACCATCTAGAACACAGTCTTGTTGTTACACCCTCAGGAGGGAACCAGACACAAGTGTTTTGTAAATGCCACACCTACACAGAGGTCTCCAACTCCTCCTCCTGCGATTCTTGCGACAGATGTGCCCCCTCTCTCAGATGAGCAGCGTGAGTGCTGCGCACTATGCCGCCCGCTAAGACAGACAACTGGGCAATCCTGGTGGACAGCCAGCCTCAGAGGCGATGACAGGATCCCCCGGGAGTCGGTACACGGTCCTTCCTCTATACTCTGCCTTTGTCTTCACAGCATCTTGGGTGCTATGTAGGATTTCAAGTCTTAGAGAATTCTTATCTCTCATTTTAGAAGAAAAACTTTTGGGGCTTTTTTCTCCCTCCTTAATTTTGATGAACTCTGATGTGCCAAGATTTAAACTGATGTTTTGCCTCAGACTAAATCAAGAAGTAGTTCCAGGGTGCCTTGTGCCAGATCCAAGGGTGCTTACAGCACTTGTTCTTGCAAATCACCAACCTTTTCTCTGAGATTAGTCACAAGATAATCCAAACAGTATGGTGGAATCTCTGATTTTATATTCTAATAGTGTTAAATGATTTGTGCCTGAAGATAAACACATAAATGCATACAAACACAACACACACACATGCACACACACATAAGCAACAATATCTAAAGTTTCCATTTGTGACAAGAGCAGATGGCCCAGAGTACTCCATATGCTTAACTTCCTGAGCCTTCCAATTGTATTACTAATGCTAAATGAGTCATTCATTCCTTGATGTCCTTTATTAAATAAAGTCTGGCAAGCGACTAAGGCAGTAAATATTTAGACAGCAAGCTTACAAAAATGGCATTTATGTAAAAGTGACATTACAGTATTCATTAAATACAAAACGTGTGCCAGGAAATGGAAGGGCTTGTATTCATCATGCACAAAATGTTTGTTTCAATATAAGCAAAGCAATGCAGGACTTAAGTTTCTGTGGGCCTGGTCATTATTCTCTCTTTTATTTTCTGCTAATATTCAAGTCTCACAAACTTTGATAGGAATAATCACAGAGCACAAACAAAAAGGGAAAACATATACAAAAAAACCTCAACAATTTAAAAACACGTAAATCAACAGAGCATAACCAAGACATATAAAGAAAATATTTTAAAATCAAATGTATTTTCTGAACTTCCAAAATGCAGCGGACATGCACAGGAGTTTAGGAAGGTGCTGTGAGGCATTTACTCTGATACGGCCACTTCACATTAGGAACGGCTTCCTGTTGCTGCCACAGTCCTTTGAACTATATCTTATCATTGGATAATAATTTAGGACCTCAAGTTTAGCATCAACTGGACAATTCAAATGTATCTTTGATTTGCATAATGTGTATAAGCAGATTGCAAAGAAACCAATTTTCTTTGAAATGTATAATAAATCCCTCATAAGAACACTCTGTTGACTCAGAAATTGCTACAGTATAAGGGACAAGGTTAAAACAGTTTCCAAAAGAGAGGAGCATCTAATCGCGACCCCCATGAATCATGACACAAATCTATTCTCTTACACAATGATCGTGTTCCAGGTCACTGAATGCATACCTAAATCATATTACATAACTGTTTAAACGAGTAACTAAAGATAGTACAACATCCTTGAAACATGATGTAAAGCACCAAAGGATGAAATCACTATTTTAATTATAAAAAGGTTTTAGACCTGGTCACTAAAAACAAAAGAATCTCACTGAAAACTAAAATAATTTTCTCCTATTGTTTTTAAACTTGGTTTCCTGATTCTGCTAAAACGCACATGTATTTTAACAATAAAGACAGTGCTGTGGTCTCCTGATTTTAAAGGGCTAATTTAAGTGGTTATATCTCCCTCTCTTCTCCAAATAATCAAACATGATAAAATAAAATGTCCCAGATAACAATACCTTGTGATTATCGATCAGATTCATCACCAAATCAATGTCCCCATGGACAGGTTGGTCTTCTGCCAGCTGGGGTTCAACCCTATACAGCCAATCAATGAGGGCCTGCAGGGCATCTGTGAATTGCCCAGAGAATAACAGTGCTTCCTCCAGTTTGTTTTGTCTGGGGGAAAAGCATGGAAAAGTCAACCTGAGTTACAACAAAGCGAGTTCATTCATGCATGTTAAGTGATACTTAAGAAGAATGTGTTCCTTTGCTCTTCTTAGAAAACCAAACCTTTCTCAAGTATCTTTTATTCCTGAAGTGCATGGTACTTGTCCTAGGAAAATTCTGTAATAATCAACTTTCAATGAGCCTTCAAATTTCTTCATAATAATATGCCCTTTAATTTTAGAAAAAAATTAAATGTTTTTCAATGTTATGACAATAAACAATTGCCTTAGCACATAGTTCTATGACTTTCAAGGTGGCGTAGAGCCCTGCGACACTTTACTACAACTGAGACGCACACGAGTTTCCCCATTCTGTCTCCCTCAGCTCCCCACAGCCACATCCTGCCTCCACTGGGGTCCCTGACATTCACTGATCCGTTATCACTGTCATGGGCTTGCAGTTAATGCTTTAACTTGTCTCCTTTTTTCAACTGTTTCTCTTAATTTCTTATACATTTCTTTTTTCTTTCTTCAATTTTATGTGCATATACCTAGTAATCTGAATAACTGGTTGGAAGACAACACTATGTATTACAACAAACTGTGAAATTCGTATTACTTTGTCAAGTGAAATTCTGTATCACTTGTAATTTTTTGTTTTAATTCTAATTTGTACTCTTTAAAAAACAAAAAATAAAGATAAAAAATGCCATAAATGAAATCATTTACATGAGACTGTAAAACAATGTAACATTTTGAGGTGGAGAAGTCAATTTTTTTGTTTTTATGGATAGGCACCACAAAAACATACTGTGAAGTTCCCTAAAACTAAATATAAATTATATTTAATCATGATACAGGTTAGGCATTCCTGGTTCAAAAATCTAACACCCAAAATGTTCCAAAATCAAACTTTTTAAGCAGCAACACAGTGCCTCAAGTGGAAAATTTCATACCATGAAACTCAAATGCATGCATAATACTATTAAACCTGAAAAGTTGCTTTCAGGCTACGTGTACACAGTATATTGAAACAAATGAACTTCATGGTTAGATGAGTCTCATTCCCAAAATATCACAACATGTATATGTAAATATTCTAAATCTAATAAACAAAAATCTAAAACATTTCTAGTTTCAATCATTTCAAATACAAGACACTTAATCCTTTTGACCAAGTAACTTAATTGAAAATTATTGAAAAATGGATACTATTTACAAGATATTTGGACTCTCTCAAAGTACTACTGTACTTTCTTAAATGACTGAAAATTTGAAGTAAGTCTTAGCCTTCACAAATGCATAAAAAGAAGGATAGAGACTGGAGGGGTGGGTGGAAGGTGGGAGGGAGCCAGGCCGGCTAGGGCCAGCCAGGAGCACCTGGGAAAAGCCTGCTTTACTTCAGACCCAGTCTAGAGCCCTGAGTGATGAAGCTGAAGGGGAACAGAAGAGCCCATTTACATTTCAAAGAAACCCTCCTCAAGTGCAGAGGAAAGGAGAAGAAAGGACAGACGAAAGGGCTTCTGGGAGACCAGAAGACGCAGCTGGTGTAGGCAGCAGACAGAGGAAAGGACTGGAGAAGGCTATCATTTTGACTGGAATGAGTAGTTGAAAATAAATAACGAAGAACTGCAAAGCTTTCTCAGTTCAGGCCGTCCATGAGCGGGTATTAGGATGAACAGCTGTTCTCCAGGCAAAGGGCCAGGGAGGGCCCCTCATGCATCTCTACGAAGCACTACTACCTTCTCCTCGTGGGAGGCCTACAAAGTAACCACGCTGCCTCCAGGGACATCTCACCTCTCCACAGACTTTCCGCAGATGGTGTCCCACTTGTCTCTGAGTTCACTCAGCATGTCATCCAGCTTCAGGTTGTCATCAGCCTGGCAGGTTTTCTCCTTCAGTGAGCGTCCAGTTCGGTTGGTGGTATCATAGACGGAATGTTTGGCTCCCAGTGATTTCTGAAACTCCTACATATTGAAGAAGAGAACAGTGTGCATTTCTTTGTAGAACTTACAAGCAAACAAGCAGAAGGCACCACAGGAGGGTCTCTTACATGGGAGACAGCAAGGAATCAGGTTACAGAGTACCAAGTTCAACAAAGGGATGTAACAGGGCCCTCCAAAAACCTAAACTTCCAAGGTCTCAGAGGCCAACTAACCCTCAGGAAATCATCTCCAAGGCAGAACAGATTTTCTGGTTTTCTTGGGTGAAGCGCCAGGGCCCATATTCAGGTGGTCTTTATGTATGCAAGGCAATCGCTCCATCACTGAGCTCTACCTTTATCCCTGAACCTGTTATATATAAACAACAAACACCACAATACGTACATGTGAAAAAAGTTGCTAAGAAACTACCGAAACTGCAGAAGCAGTCTTCGTAGGCTGTCATGATCATTTTATATCTAACAAATATTTATGAGATTAAAGAGAGGCTCTCTGCCGCTGCCCTGAAAGGTTGCTCTCTGCCATGCGCTGCTCTGCCTTGGACTCAGCCATATGGACTGAAACCCCCAGTAACTGTGAGCTACATAAACTTTCCTTCCTTCAAAAAAAGATTAAAGAGAGTAGAAAAATGAGCCAACTGCTGGGAATATACCTCAGGGAAGAGAAGGTAGGCAGGTCAACTCAGTGGACAGCTTACAAGTTTATAAAATACCAAGGCAATGCTAATGCTTAAACTGGAGAAAAAAGTGGTATGTAAATGAACAGCTTCCCCAAATAATCTAAAAGTTAAAATTACAGTACCTAATAAATTTTTATTGCCTCTAAAAGCTAAACTTTAAAGGCTTTAATGTGACATAAATTTCTTTGCTTGTACTGTAAGGCAACTACATCTTCTGGACATCTTAAAGTACTGAAACAATTACAATATTACACTATTTCTAAATTCTGTTATCTGAAGTATTACATCTTCATGCTATTCTGAAAAGAATGCTTGAGTTGAGAATCATGACACTGACACGGATCTTCTTTACACAGCAGATGCATTAATAAACACCACAGCTGAGCACAGGTTGATTAAATCTTTGTAAAGGCAGAAGTCATCAAATAATAAACAGAGAAGACTTCTTTTAAAATTGGCTTAATGAACTACTTTGAAATGTGTCTTGGAGAAGCTGGTGACTTGTGCAGTATGCAATACTGGACAAAATAAAGAAGCTAACAAGGTTCTTTGTATAGTCTAGTTCCTAAAATTCTAAGTTCAAGGGCCAGTGAAATAGCTCAGTGGACTAAGCGCCTGCTTAGGCAAGCACAGGGGCTGGAGTTCGATCCCTGGCACCACATGCTGTAGCCAGTCCCACCCCTGGGTACACTGAGCCAGTGACCAAGTCTGGGCATGGTGGCACGTGCCTGCAATCCTAGCACTGCAGAGGCTAAAAACAGGAGGATCACTACAAGTTTGAGCTGCATAGTGAGACCCTGCACCAAAACAAAACAAAAACAAAAAAAAAAAAATCCTAAAATTCTAAGTTCAAATAAATCATTCTGTTTTGAACAAGAGGCCCCTGTTTTCCCATCAGAAGAGGACAGAAGTTGCTGTTCATTGTCGCTGTCGTCCTGGGGTTGGATGGGGCAGCTCGAGGGTGGAGGCTGCTATAGAACAGGACTCTCATAAACCCTACTGCAGTCAGAGAACAGAATGTTTCTCTAGCAGCAACCCCCATGGGTGAAGACAATGGCTAAGAATTTTCTGATGATGGTAAATCTTATGATACCAATGTAAAGGTTTTCATATTACCAATGTAACATTACTGTATTGTCACTGTATACATTAATGTATTTAACATTACCAATGTAAATGGTTTTCTTTTAACCTTTTAAAATGTTTTAGCAGCAATTTATACCTCACTGCCTAAAATTAGACTTCTCTGCCTGTCTGCAGGAACCACTTTCCTTTATCTGCATCCGTACCCTGATGGCTGATAGCCAATTTACAAACAGAATTATAGAGAGACCCAAAAAAAGAGTTGGGAAGGGTAGCAGGAAATGCTCTTGAATACCTTGTGGAAGAAACACGAATATTTAAAAACACATTTCTACATGCATCTAGGTGACAAGAAAGTCATTGAGACTATGTGTCTTTGAGGATATGGGTGGAATTTTATATATATGTATCAACTGTTAGGTAGTAGCAATCATTTTCTTCTGTTTAAAAGAATCTATACTCAAAATTTGTATTCCTTTTTACTATAGAATTATCTTCAAGGTTGCATTTGAGCTCTGAAAAAATCTGACATGACAGTGATTACAAAAATTGAAATGCCAGGGCTGGCCAAATAATAGCTCAGCAGATTGAAGCACCTGCAACCAGGTGCAGGGGTCGGGGGTTCAATCCCCAGGCCTGCCATGCCGGCCCTGCCCCTGGAGCACGCTGAGAGCAACTGCGACTGGGCATGGTGGTACACACCTGTAATCCCAGCTCTTGGGAGGTCGTGAAACAGGCGGATCACTAGAAGTCCAATCTTGTAGTGAGACCCTGAATACCCTGTAGACCTTCCCCCAAAAAATACAGACTGAAATGTCAATGTTCCACTGCAAAACCCTTCTTCTGTTTTGGAACACAGACATATTACAGGTGTAAATCTGAACAAAAAACTCTCAATTATTAGTAAAATGGTAGGCAGGGCCAGCAAGATAGCTCAGCAGATTAAAGCGCCTGCTCAGGCAGGGCGCAGTTGCCAGGGTTTGGCATGCGCTGAGACAGCGATTGAGACTGGGCATGGTGATACACACCTGTAATCCCAGCGCTTGGGAGGCTGAAAACAGGAGAATCACTACGAGCCCAACCTACGTAGTGAGACCCTGTAGATGCTGTAGACCCTATAGACCCTGCAGACCCTGTAGACCCTGCAGACCCTGTAGACCCTGAAGAATCTGTCCTAAATTCAGGGAAAAAAAATGAAGATATTATTGCCACGTGACCAATGTGGAGAGCTACTGGTTTTAAACTCAGTACAGGTTTCCACGGGTGGTCTTTGTTGCTCTAGTGAGGAGTAAATACATGATCAAGAAAGAATCTGGACATGATCTTGAAATACATAACACAGCAATACGCCTTCCTTAACAGACTCACCTTATGTTGTGCAAGCTGTGTTTTTATTTTGTCTGGATCATTGGCAATTTCCAGGTCAGAATCCAGAGAATTTTCTGACTCTTCAAGCCACTCCATAAGTTTACTCCATGCCTCGTGGAACTGTAAAAGAAGTTCTCATCTTTGTTCAGAAAAACTCTGAGCACGTATTTGAAATACAGCATGTTTTAAAACAGAAATTAAATTAATAAGTCATGCTGACAATTATTAATTCAAAATTTCCCTTAAAAAAAGAAATGCTTTTATCAGCAAAGTATATAATGCCTTGATGACGCTTGGTGTGTGCGGTTGTGGCTGGCAGTCTCTTTGCTGTAACTCATCCAACATGGCACTTTAGAAAACAGCAAGGAGGCTAGAGACAGCTACGGCGCTCCAGGGAAGCTTCCTTTCCTCCTACTTTTTTTTTTTTTTCAAATCTTAACATAAATTGTCAAAAACTTGTTTTTGTATTTATTTCATTTATTATCATTATTTTTTTTTATGTCCATTAGTCTCTTGGTCTGGATTTACATCTAAGGTGTTTAACTCCTCTGTTAAGAAAAAGGAAGAAAACGGGAAGGAGAACTACAGAACCTGTAAATTTGTTTTGTAAAGCAGCAAAAATGAAAAGGGGTCATTACATTCCTATTTAATACAAAGCTAGTTTAATATGTTTACTGCGTTACCAGAACCCTCACGTTACTGCTTATGCCTTACGTAGTGATTTTATAGGTATAAGCACCCGTAATATTGGAGTTCTTAGCCAGTATGATTCTCTTTCCCATCTGAGACCTTGCAAATATTTTGCGTAGCATATATCTGATTTTAGGCACAGTATCTTTTCTGTTTATCATACACAAAACTAGTGGGCTTTTTCTGTACCTGATTGGGAAACTGGTTACAAATTATTTCTTATAACCAATGTAAATAAACAAGTATTTGCCCAAAACAAGGTAATTGATGCAAAATCCTTATATTTCAAAGCATATTAATAATGAAATAACAAAAACATCTAATAATAAGAGCAAACTCAGGCACAGAATCGCAAAGCTACAAGGGCCCACTACATATTATCACATTACAATTCTACTCTCCCCACGCATCCCATTCATCACCCTAATCAATTTACACATGCGAGAAAGCAAGGTCAGAACAGGCACGTGAATTGCCAGCACCAGAGAGCTATAATCAACATGGAGGCCAAAAACACTGATCAATATGAAAAAAATTGCTGGTCTAGGTGCTGAGCAGTTAACAGAGGACAAGATGACTGGACATGAAATGCGATGATAAAAAACCACAGGCTCTAAAATGGGCTCTGTCTTTGAAGCTATTTTTAAGTCATATAATAAGAGGCATGGCTTTCTGGGGATGAAAACAGTACAGAATATTTACATAATTAAGAATGAAACAGACTAAGAGGAGATGGGAAAAAGAGAGCGAACATCTTCATTAAAGCTGATGTTTATAACGCAAGATGAACTGCAGAAGACCCTGTGTCACATAATGTAGAGACAAAAACATTAGGCTCAGGATGATTACTATACAAAAGAACTAAAGTAGCGGCAGATTCTATGCCAGAGACTCCCTTCCAGTGTGTAATTCCGTAACAAGGCAATTTGTTATTTCTAAGCCTCAAAAACTGTATACTGCTAGTGTTAAACTCTAAAATACCTGACACTTGTGGTACTGTCTTGTACTTCCTAACTGAGCCTATCTCTCCCACACCATGGAATACAACAATGTTAAGCAAATGCAGGTGAATGAGGCAAAAAAGGTTACTAAATAAGTTCAGCCTCAATAGTATACTAAACTTTTGATAAAATTATTAAATACATTTTTAAAAAGATGTATGCCCAGTAAGATGGGTATACCTTACTTTCAGTGTACAGAGACACTCAGAGATGTATAATTTTACCTCTTCTATATTTAGTCTAGAATTGAATGTCAATAGTAGCCAAAGAGGAGAGAAAATTTCTTGTGAAATACTCTAGCTGAAATTAAGCACTGCTAAAAGACCTGAACAACTGTTTTAAAATGAGATAAAGCTGAATTAAAATGCTAGGGAGGTGGAGCTGGGGAGATAGCCCAGCAGTCTAAAGCACCTGCTTAGGCATAGGCAGCCACAGGGGGCCACAAAATGATCCCCGGCACCACATGCTGCACCAGCCCCACTCTCAGGTTGGGCTGAGCTGGCAAAAAAAAAAAAAAAAAAAAAAAAACTGCTAGGGAAGAGATGCAGGGTTGTCAGCAAGTGCTGAGAAAGGTAGTGAGTGCCAGCCAACTCAGACCCAGACACGCCCCTTGCCCAGCTGCCTGGGTACTGCACATCTGCCTGTTGACTCTAAGATTGAGGCTGTTCATCTTAGGAAGTTCACATAGCTAAGTGATATAGTAAAGTCTATAGTATACTCTGAGTATGAGAGTGGAGGCCAAAAGACAGAGGAAAAATAAACCCAGAACAAAATTTGGAGTTCCTTCTTGTGCCTTAACAATAAAGGCCCCTCTAAGCCAAGCTATAACTAGGCTTCTCAAGATTAATTCACAGGGCCTGACATTGCTGCCAGCTGCGAAACACGAAAGCAGCATGCCAAGGTAAGCCACGGCCCTTCCAGGAGATGCGCCCAGCTCCCGGTCGCTGCTGCCAGCACAGCCCACGGCGTAGCATCTCCATGCCATGAGCTTCAATCACTGCAACTAGCTGCCAAGGTCGGAGAACCCTCCAAGGCTTTCTTACCTGCTTGGCTCTCTTCCTTGCCTCATCCAGTGATCTTCCTCTTTCTATTAACCGCTGAACGACTTTTTCCCATCGACTCTGCACACTGATTAGTAGATTCTTAATGAGGACAACATCTTGCTTCTGGCTGAAATACTTTAAGTGGGTTCCAGTTTTGTCCAGCTCTATGATTTGCTCACGATGAGAATTGACTTCATTGGCAAAGACCTTCCCCCCGAAAAGAGACATGATCAGAAATAAGGGAAAAATGAATCCAATCTTAGAAATATTTCAGGTATCATGAAGCTCATCATGTTGCATAAAACAAGACAAAGTTTTCAACTACCAAATCCACGCTTCAGACTGTAAAACATCTCGTGTATCAAAGGAAAGAGTCGGCTAGCCGAGTGGACACTACATACCTTGTGCTCATCAATCTGAAACAAGACTGTGTCCAAGATAAGACTTGGCGGGGAAGCCACATTCAGGGTCTGCTCCGCCTGGGTGAGCCAGCTGATGAAGTCCTGCAAGGAGTCGTGGAACTGCACGGCCAAGCTGAGGGCCTCTTCCAGTTTAGCCTGCAAAGACAGCTTAGTTAGTGCAGTATCTGCTGCTGAAGGGCTTTGGTCACTCTGTGTCATCGTAATCCTTCCTTGGAAGAGTCCTTTCCCTTTCATTTTGCATCTTTATTAACAAAGCAACTACAATTGTAATGACGCTTTACTAACATACTGCCAAACTAAGCTCCTTTAAACTCCATCTAGTAAGAAACATTTCCTTACAGGGGGAAAAAAAGGACACTAAACTGGGTTCTGTGGCAATTAACAACAACAGCAAACCCCACTAAACAGAATAAGAAGAAAAACTGACATTCATACAATTAGTTGTTGGAATTAAGAGTCCCGTAAAATATACTTTATGGTCAATCAGTAATGCTATATAACCTAGTAATTTAGCCTACAGTTTATCTTATAGCATTAATGGTATTATTGAGATTTTTCAGATTATTCCATGCTTTTCTTTAAAGTAGCAAAAAATACACAATCTATAAATCATAATTCCTTTCTCACATTTCTATGGAAGCACTGATAAATGTATAAACAACTCTGTTCCTCTTTCCTTTAATGATTAGGATTAAAACAGAATTAACAACTTTTAAGTTGAATATTCATAATATATAGAAATATACTTAAGTGACACTTGGTGTATTAAATATTTTCATCCACAATGCACAGATTCCTTTAATTGTTCTTTTGGGTTAGAATACAACTTTCACCTCACAAAATCTTCATGTATACAAAAGTTCTACTTTTGATAGGTCTCGGAAATAAGGCAAACACACACGAAATAGTCTATTATATTTCTGTAATACTGATTCTATTATATTAAAGCACATACTTTCCTTTCGTTGAGTTTTGTTTCCACTGATTCCCATTTTTCTTTCAAGTTATTTATATCTTGATCAACATTTGTCTCTGCAGATTTGGGGCATCTTGCAAGCATCTGCTGGCCTTTCTGCATCAGGTTCTTGTATATTTCTTCTTTAATGTCAAACGCAGCACAGACTTCCTAAATTTGAGATGACCTCAAGTTATATGGCTTTTAAGAGAACAGTATCTAAGAGTTCTATTTTTTAAGCCATCAATCCCCAATCCTCCACCAAACGTTCATTTATCATACGCAGAACTGATAAGGTTCAATTCCTCACCCTGTTGGAACAGTATCTAAGGCTACAGCCAGATACTGTAGCCAGAAACGGAGCTTCCACTGTCCATCCACTCTGGCACACTAAGGTTTGAAGTATTAGTTTGCATATTGTCAGGCAAGGTTTCTTTGTAACGTACCTAATCAGCTCTCAAGTAATTTAAGCTTTTTTGGGTCTCAATTTCCTTCCCACTCTGTAAAGTGATGCACATTTATATCCTTCATTGTATTATGACACAGTAACTGTGTTTGATTTGTATAATTTATTCCTTGATCAAAAAATATGCAATGGATGGAAAGCAAAGTACAAGGATACTTACACTGATTATTCAGTTTCATAGACTACAACAGTCATACTTAGTGGTACTATGAGTAGAATCTCACTTAAAACATTAAATTTGGGCTGGCCAGAGAGCTCAACAGATTAAAGTACCTGCTTAGGCAGACTCAGGGGCTGGGGGTTCGAACCCCTGCCAGGGGTGCCTGCCCGGCTCCCAGGGTGAGCTGAGACTGCTACTGGGACTGGGGTGTGGTGGGGTGTGGTGGCGTGCGCCTATAATCCCAGCGCTTGGGAGGCTGAAAATCAGGAAGGATTACTACAGGTCCCATCTGTGTAGTGAGACTGTGCAGACCCTGCACTAAATACATTAAGAAAAAAGTATTAAATTTGACTGAGTGCATATCCTCTATTGAGAATATAGGAAGATGTTGCTTAAACAGATTCAAAATTTAAGACCAGTGAAATAAAATATATATTTTCATTAAAACATTAAGATTAGTTCTAGTTCACTGACTGAATTACAATGTAGGTCAAATCATAGTTTTCACTGACAAACCTATATTTCACTAATATTTTCAGCCTCACAATTTTATAAGTTGGGGCACAATTCACTATTTAAAAGCGCATATTCGTGTTTCTTAGCAAATTCTTACATTTATGCAAGTAAGTACCACTAACTCTAGAACATGTGCATCATCTCAAAACTTTATAATTTCCTTTTAAAAATCCCTTTCAAAATATATTTGCAGGGGCCGGGGAGATGGCTCAGTAGAGTAAGTGCTTCCCTGGCAAGCACAAGGGCCTGAGTTCAATCCCCGGTTCCGGAAAAAAAAAAAAAAAATCATAATTGCACCTAATCAAAACTTTCCTAAGAGACTTACACACAAGGAATGACCAAACTAGGTGGTGAATGACTGAATTTAATAAAAAAAAAACTTACAATAAGGGACATATTGCCATTAATTGTCCTAAAAGTAAACCCTACACTTCGAACACACATACTCCACCATTCTTGTCACTGTCTGAGGCACTTCTGGCGTCCTTCTTTCCTGTCTTTATGAAATGTAATTAAACAAATATGGGAAATGCTGCTGCCTGTATCATCCAAGGCAAGGCGGTTCATGAAACATCATGGCGAGGCCTCATCCACCTTATTTACTGGATCTGGCACGGCGTGACTTCCGGCTCCTTCCCAAAGTATAAATGACTATGAAAGCTAAGTGTCTTGAACTAATTAAAGAGACTGAAACAGCCGAAGCAATCCAACTAAAGCCACAGAAGAGGACTTCCAGAACTGCTTTCGAAAGTGGTAAGAAAAATGGGGGTGTGTTTGAAGCAAGGGGAAATATTTGGGGGGAGATTAATGGCAATGTCATTTACTGTCATTTTTAAAAATGTAAATATCTTTAGCTGTGTTTAGATTACATTTTGTAATTTTCTTCATTTGTAGCAAAGTCAAATTAAAAGACCATTACTCAAATGGTATTACTAATAGCAATAACTCTTCAAAAAAAAATTTTTTTTTTTGTATTTTAGGGAAGGGTCTACAGGGCCTTCAGGGTCTCACTACTAGATTAGACTCATAGTGATCCACCTGTTTACAGCCTCCCAAGAGCTGGGATCACAAGCGTGCGCCACCACGGCAGGCCCAGGATCGAACTCCCAGCCCCTGTGCCAGTTTGCGGGCACTTTAATCCACTGAGCTATTTGGCCGGCCCGAAAATTCTTTTAATCATGAAATTTCTATAGCCTCAGACATGGTATACAGTTACAGAAAGTTCATTTTAAATAGCCTATTGTGGCAACTAAGCTTGACTGTGCCAACCTGACTTGGGGCGAACACACTTTCTGCCGTAAGTGTGGCCGGCCGGGTCACCTGGCCACGCACACTGTGGTCTGTACCTGGTGCCTCCTCCGCTCCCTGCCACCTTGAAGTGCGCAGCTTTGCTCCAACACACCCTTCCACCACCTATTTCTGCCTTGCAACCACTAATACAGACTAAATCCCCTTAACATGTGAGCCAAATTAAACCTCCTTTAAGTTCTGAGTATCTTGTAGGACACCACTCAATCCAAGTACACTAACATAAAATATTTTTCTAAGTCATTACTAATATTCTTCTGAATTACCATTTTAATTTTTTTTTTTTT